TTGCTATGTATAAACCCCGGCACGTGGGACTTAGTTAAGTTTGCACTTGTAAAACTCTATAACATGTTATAGACCACCAAATCTAAAAAGTCTTTTTCATTCGAAATCTTTTATGAGTTTCGAAAAAGATGTGATGTTTGGCAACAATATATGATCAATAAGGACAAGGCGCGGAAGTCAGGTCGTCGTCGTGACAGAAGTATAGTTAGTAGGCTTGTTTTAACCGGATTTTCAAGCCATCTTCTCAAAAGTGGCTTACAAACCGCTTTCAGACACTGTTTTGTCGAGATAGATGGTTTTTTATTGTCAAGCCTCGCATAGGTTCAGTGAGGCTTGTGATCAAGCATATGTCTGCTATGGGGCTTTGATGTAACTCACTTCTTTAATCCATTTGCTCATCACTTGATCGCAACGAATTCGTGAGGTCCTAAAATTGGACCTCACGAATTCGTTGCGACTTGACTGTTTTCTACGCTAACAGTTAAGTTTCGGCACTTTTGAAAGTGATTTAACCTGTGCATCTTTCCCTCGAGGATGATTTGCACAGGGTTTGCAAGCTCAAATGAGAAATAAGATGTATGGGTATTCTAATTACACCCATGTAAGAGGATTTCTGTGAAAGGTGTGCCTATGGAATATAAGGACACCTACAACATTCTTTTGTCCTTTCTTTCTTCCTCAGTTATAAGTCGTTATCAGGCTATAGCTATTGATATACTAAAATATTTGCTTAAGTTCATTCTTGTGTGTTAGGTATTTTGATACATACCATATTTCTAACCTTTTAAGTTTCGCTGACCAATCTTTCTGCTGGAGACTCAGCATTAAATATGTCATGACCAAATTCACAGCCTAGCTGGTTGCCAATAACGGGCCTGAACCTGGCTAACTTGGTGATGAGTAGAGATATCGATCTGGTGATATGAGTGAGAGCCAAATTGATACCATCTACCATGTCACAAGCTCAGCATTCATGGCAACGTTCCATTCATTGTAACATTGCCAACTTCAAGGATGGTATTAGATAGGTTGGCGAGTGACATCCTTTTGCATGTCACTCGCGCTTGACATGGAGATTTGGCTGATCCTCGCCGATGACCGAGTCAAAATCTACTTTTAAACTGGAAAAGTTGGAGACGACGCACAACTTTTGGGCCGAACTGCGCCTGGTCCTTAATATATCAGATCATATATCACGATATATTCAACTGATCTGAAAAACAGCCTCGAGGCTGTTTTTCCAACAAAAAACACTTTTTGCCCCTCTCTTGATTGAGCTTTGTCAAGTTCAATCACAATCGTGGCGATCTTTTGATAGCTGTTTTGGACAACTGTTCGGTAAATTGTATAACCAAATTACACTTTTTGGGAAACACAGCCAAATGGGCCCTAATCAAATTATCATTTTCTCTCAACATCTATCATATTTACATTTTGAACAACTCTCTTAATACATTTACTGCAACTACAAGAAGATCACCATGACAGTCCAAGTTCTCATAGAAAGTGCATAGTTTCAGGAGGAGCACTAGGCATTATTCTGAGTCAGGTAATTGAGATTTATAAATTGTTTCTGTTTTGTTAAATTGTTATCAATGTCTATTATCATTTTAATTTCACTTTGTTGAAACAATTGATGAACCAAGAAGAATTGTGATGAAAGATAGATTGAAGTAAGTAGTATTGGAAAAAGTCAAATTCAGAGGTAGTTGAAGATGATGATCAAAGTGATGTTGATCATGAATGGGAATGGGAGTGGATGGAAATTGAGGTTGAGGTTGGGTATTTGTATTGAGGAGGACAATGGGGGATGCTTGATCAAGTGTACAGCCCAATGCATAATTGATGACTTTGGAGAAAAAAAAACCTCCAGTTTTTTTAAAAAGTGACCGAGTTTTTCAAAAATTCATTGAGTTTTGTTTTGAAAACTGGCTGAGTAATACACTACACCAAATGTAATCTTTACCGGGCGGTAAAGAAAACTACTGACATAGAAAAGTCCTGAGGCAACAGGAAGAGAGCTAAAAATCTGAAAAAATATGCACCTTGTTCCTAGATGTTGGGGCGTCATGATGAGTATTTTTTTGTATTTTACACGCAGATATTGGTTTATGTACTAACAATAAATGCTGAAAATCATCAAAAACTCACATGTAACAATACCTAAAATTTGGGTCATGAGTATGAAGACAATATTTTGTGGTCTAAAAACTTCAATAACTTTTGCAATTCTGCTCCAAATAACTCGATTTTTGGTTCATTCACAAGCTGAACTATTCTCCTTCACACTTCATAATATTAGTAAGGTGCTATCTAGTCATTTAAACACTCTACATATGTTCAAACAGTTCTGCATGAATAGCTCTGTAGGATCTTTTTTAGACCAGCTACAGATGTGATGTCTCAATGAAAAATGTAGAGGGAAGGCTCACCTTTTTAATGCACTTCAAATCGAGTGATTTGATTCAGAACTTCAAAAGTTATTGATGTTTGAAGATTCCAAAATCCTGTCTTCAAAGTCAAGGGCCAAATTTCAGGTATTGTTACAGGTGGGTTTTTGATGATTCTCAGCCTTTATTGTTAGTACATTAACCAATATCTGTGTGTAAAATATAAAAAAATACTTGTCATGACGCCCCAACATCTAGGAACAAGGTGCATATTTTTTCAGATTTTTAGCTCTCTTCCTGTTGCCTCAGGACTTTTCTATGTCAGTAGTTTTCTTCACCGCCCGGTAAAGATGACATTTGGTGTAGTGATAGACGGTCTCAAAGCAAACCTGGTTGCCAAAAAACCCGGTACACCCAGTTGCTTTTTTGGTGGTAACTTTGTGTATTGAGTTGACATTTTTGACACCTCCAAGCCAAAAAGACAACCAGGTGTACCGGGTTTGCTTTGAGACCGGCTAATTCCAAAAGTTGATGAGGTTTTTCAAAAAGTCGCACAAAATTGGAAAATAGCCTACAGCCGCTGTGGTGATCTATTTACGATATTAAGCAAAAAAATTAATCATCTTTACTTTACCAGTTTATTAGCAAACTTCAATATAGCAGAGAATTCGAAATTCAGGTTTTCAGATCAATTGAAGCTCTTAGAGGCTTATGTATACTTATTAGCTCATTATTATGTCATCATATTTCAAAATCATTATTAAGATCAACATAGTTTACTTACAAAGTTATTACAAAAAGACAGAAAAAGAAAAGATAAGAAAAATTCGAAAATATAGGTGTAAAAGTTGGAAAATGGTTTTTAGCTTATTTATAATTAAGTTATGGGTTTTATGAGGTTAGAATATGAAAGAACAACAGTTTATTATACAGGAACAATTTTAATATTCAAGGTTGATAAGGGGAAACAGAAGTTATCAGCAGAAAGGTACTTTTTCGAAGTTGGTAAACAAGGGTTATGCGTGTAGTTTACATATGTAATGGTGGTAGTAGTAGAAATTAAGGTTGCCAAGGGGATTTTCCGGGATTTTTAAGGTTATAGAAGATGATGTCATATTACATGAGCAAGAAAAAGAGAGTAGCAGCTGTGAAAAGTGAAGAAAATAGGTGCAAATCGTCGAAAATGGAGGTTTTCAGCTAATTACATATGTCAAATGACGTCAGAATAAGTTGGTAGATAGCTCATTCAACGCAGAAGAGTGGTTTACATAATGTACAGCCTTTAAATCATTAGTAACGGAGGTGTATGTAACAAGTTATAAGGGAAATAAGAAGTTGGTGTGAATCTCGAATTTACAGTCACAAGTCACATGTAACACCAAAAACCTTAACTTCACAACTCAATATCTTACTCATCACTCATCAGAAGTAGGTCTTATAGGTGTCAGAAATGATCAGTAACACGTGAGCTACAAGATGCACTTTAGTAATCAAAAATTGGAGCACATCTAAAAAAATTCGTAATCTCAAAAATTGGGTTTCAGCTAGTTTACAAGGAAAAAATCACCTGTATTCATCATAAGAAGTGCTGTACATTACATCATTGAGTCATTGATCACTTTTGGCTGTGAAAATTACATCATACATTGGTAACAAGATCATTACATTGCGTCATTACATGGTTTTTAGGGTTATTTAGGCGGATTTGATTGGTTTTTGAGGCTGTTGACTGTTGTAAAGATTGTTACATGTGGATATAAGTACTCCTTGATGATTTTAGGATTGTAGCGCCCTTTTCTGCATCTTATACCTTTGTTGTAGTGTTATAAATCATCATTTATTTACTATATTTGTACTAAGATCACTTAAATCCGCCCCTTCAAAGCAAGGAGAAATTTATTTACGTGTGTTAAAGACTACAAGTCTAATTGGGAATAATACTTACAACAGTATTGCTAGTAATAAACATAGTGTGTGACTTTTTTGCGCTTAAAATCTGGGAATAATACTTAACAACAGTATTGCTTTATTTTCTCTGGTGCTTTATCTATCACTACGCGAAAATTAATATTTTCCAAAGGGAAAAGAAATATACTAGGAATTATCTTTTCCCTATCTTTTCCGCAAAAATCCTAGGAATTATCTTTTCCATCACCAAGCTTCAGTTTAATGATTTGTTGCTCAGATTATCCTGACAATCTCTTACACCCTGATTGCTGAAGCCACCTTCTGCAGCCCATGTCATTCATTCGCGTGGATGAGCTTGTTCATTAGATGTAATCTGTGCAGTACTTGTAAAGGATTCAATTAATGTACATACAATTCTTTTGCGCAAAGCTATATGAGCCAATTTGAACTGGCATCCGACCTACATCACCTTGACAACCTACAAGTGTACATACATTCTCCCATTCCAGGGGATTCTCGAATCAGAAGAGTTTTCCAATTACCCAAGAGTAGACCTTGAGAAGCAGGACGCGACCACTCCACCGCTCTCAACACACTTGATTTGTATCACAGCCTGGTTCAAACTTCAACGTATCGCTCGAAGAGCCCCCCATTCACCTCATAAGTCTTGAATCCGAACTTCCAGTGCAGTCAAATCGAGTAATGCTTTCACCAAAGCCGAAAGCCGATCCAAGGAGAGTTGTTTGTCAGTGCCAGAGTCATGGCTGTTACAAAAGCTTCTATATCGATGCCCATGGAAACTCTCAGCAAGGTGTGGAGGTTCTCCCAGCGACTAAAGAATCGCATACCCGTGCCGACTTGCGATCACAAATCGAGTCAACATCTGCAGGAGCAATTGAACACCAATCAAGCTCAACTGAATCACCTTCGGTCGATCAGACAGACCAGCTTGTCGCACATCTAACCCGTCTAGGTTTGGGTTCATCTAGAAACTCGAAAGAGCGAAATCCTGCGGTGAACACAATGAATAGATCTGTGTCGGCACCCACCCATCATCTTTTGCTTAATCAACCTCAAAACGATCAATTGTGTGAACCATCCACATCCAATTCAAAGGAACCGGGACAGAATATGGAGGAAACATCACCATCAAGCCATATACGATCTGACATCCCTCCAGTGACTCCCTCGCGCAACAAACCACCATTTTTAGATCCTGATGTATGCAACGCGGCGGATTCAGCAAGACAAAATGGGTTACGGCAATATGACACTAGTAAGTATGTTCCCAATTGAAGCTTACTAGTTAAACGCGATACTGATTTTGATTTCTGCCTTTTGAAGATCGCTTTCACGACTTCACGCTATCATCCTTCAATCCAGTGTGCCTTCACATTGCACTCACTGCCGTCATTATCAATGTGTTCGATCACGCGTCAATGTTAACATCGGCCTGGTTAATGGATATGATGCGCATATCGGTGGAACTTTTGATCATGTATGGTCTAGTGACAAAAAAGGACGCCACGCCACTCACTCTTGCTGAAATTCCGATTTTTCGACGGTTGCCTCGTACCATTACCACTGCGATTGGATGGCTTCAAATAGACCCTTCACTAATTTATATGAATTGCTGCAGAAGCTGTTTTGCTCTTTATTCTCTGGCCAAAACACCGACTTGGTGCAATTATCGAATTCGAAATGTTCCTGGGGGACCTTCTGATCCATCTGATGCAAATGTCGAGATTGCAACTGAAATTGGAGAGGCCCCAGACGTGCAAGAGGAAGATCTTAAAGAAGAAACCTGCGGAGAGCCTCTACTACGGTTCTCCCGAGGTGAACAAGTTCCGGTTTGACGATATGCCTTCCAAGATCTATCTGAGTGGATTGCACGTCAATACTCACGTCCTCTCTGTGAAGAATGGCTCGACGAATCGTTGATTGAATCAAGACGACCTTTTAACGCCAGCGAAGATATCCACGACATCCACGGATCTCGAATCTGGAAAGAGTTTTGTGGACCAGATGGTCGACAATTCACGGCAAAAAGCGGGAATTTGGTATTTGGAATGTTTGTTGACGGTATCAACCCATTTGGAAACAAACAGAGCGGCCATCACAATTCCATTACTTTCATAGTCCTTATCTGCCTTACACTACCAATCCGGATTCGAAATCGGCCAGAGAATGTATTTCTCGTAGGCATCGCACCAGGTCCTCGAGAACCGTCACTCGAACAGACCAACTGGATATTGGGACCAATTGTAGCCCAACTTCAAGAGTTATGGCAACCTGGTCTACTCTTGTCTAAAACTCATCAGTACACCAGCGGGCGGATCATTCATGCGGCATTATTACCATTCATTGCGGATATTCCGGCTGTACAACGATCACTTGGGTTTCCGAGTGCTACGAGCAAACACTTCTGCTCGTTTTGTCTACTCGAAAAGCAAGAAATCGAGAACTTTGACCAAGCTTCATGGCCTCTTCGAACATGTTCGCAGCACAAGCTATGGGCATATGAAGCTCGTGACGCAACAAGTCCTGAAGAAAGGAAGGCAATTTTTGAAACCCACGGTGTTTGCTATTCCGTCTTGAATGATCTCGAGTATTGGAATATCGTGGATTTCCATGTGGTCGACTCGATGCATAATCTTCTTCTTGGTCTCCTTTCTTGGCAGCTGCGACGATTTTGGTCTATGACTGATACCAAGAGCGAAGAAGATGAATTACCACCCGTCAGTAAAAAGGAGTTGTTGGACCTTTTCGCCGAGAATTCCGAATTTCAAAAGCGCGAAAGCCAAACTGTCAATCTGGAGGAAGTGCAGCCCAACAATGGAGGCACCATACATGATCTTCATTCATCGGATCTGAGTAGCGATGCCGACTTTAATCCTTTAGGTGATCCTGGATGGGATTCCGAGTGGATTTCTCCGCCTCTTGGGGAGGTCATCTTTGACAAGAAGATGCTGCAAAGAATCAACTCCCTGCTCCCGCGGATCCATATACCCACGTGGATCAAACGTGCAATTCCTGTAGTTGGAAAGGCGTCCTTTGGCAAACTGAAAGCGGATGAGTGGAGAAACCTCTTCACCATCCAATTACCTTTAACGCTAATTCCAATTTGGAGCGGCCAGGATCATGTGAAGACAGCCCTCCTGAGAAACTTCTGGCATCTTGTTTCTCTCGTTAACTTGGCTTTGAAGAGGGTAATGAATGAAAATATAATAGTTCGATATCGGTATCATCTTCAGGAGTATCTCAAAAGCTCGACTGTACTCTTTCAACACTGTAATCTTGCACCAAATCATCACATGGCCATGCATTTGGCGGACTGTCTTGAACGCTTTGGTCCGGTACGTGCATGGTGGTCATTTCCTTTTGAGCGTTTAATGGGAAGAATACTCAAAGGTTGTCACAACAATCATATAGGTATGTCTTCATTACTTCTCTCAAACATATGTTGAAAGATATGCAATCGTATACTGATTTTGCACTACATTGACTGGAACAAGGCGAGCTGGAAATCACATTCATGAAAAGCTTCTGTTGTGCTGGAAATTTAGCGGCTTTACTGAAAGATAATCAACTTCCTGATGCACTTGAGCCGTACGCCTCACGGCTGGAGTCACTTTACGATCCACCTCCACCAGCTAAGAAGAAACTCTCCAACTCAAAGCTCGAGCCCATCGAACACTCTGTTCTCCTCCTTTTGTTGAACCATTTGAACAAGGAAAACGTAGACGGGTGCACCTGGGTCCTCCCAAATCAGTGGTGTCTGGATTCACACAAAAAAAATGTTCTTACACAGCCATTAACCGCTTGTGCTTTTTTCTACAAGCAGATTGAACACTTGGATGTGCACTTTTCGACTTTCACATCAAATCCGAACAACAGCTTCATTACATTCAATTTGAAAAAAGAGCGTATGTTTGGTCGAATATTTTCTATCTTCATGCATCGTCGCACTCCAAAACCTTCTCTCAACCTGATGGACACTTGGATCCATGTCCAAACCTTTCCAATCGTCCCACTGCATATGCACAACCCGATGACACAAGTAGATGCAACCGATGTTCAAGTACATCTGCGTGCTTGGGGTCCAACTGTGAATCATGTGATCAATCTGAATGATGTGATAGCACATTGCTCTTGGATTATGTACAAGCCTTGTGAACTTCACAAGAATTTGAGTATTCCAACTGTTGCTCTTGTATCGATGGAGCGATAATTTCAACATATGTCATTAAAACTATGAAGTCAAGACTTTGCAAGGTGATCCTCATTTCATATCTCATATTATTTGTGTGTGAATTGAGCAAAAAGAATAAAGATTGATTGCTTTTCAAATGTGACCACTTTTTCATCTTTTACATTATTTGTGCGTGAATTAAATGAAAAACAATACAAATTGAATTACTTCACCCACAAATGTGACCACTTTTTCATCTTTTACATTCTTTGTGCGTGAATCAAATGAAAAAGAATAAAAATTGAAATACTTCATTCAAAAATGTGACCACTTTGTACATACTTCGAAATGATGTCAATCAATGAGATCATATGTGAATTGGAATTGTTCGCACTGGCCTGCAGTTTGAAGAAACAACCCATTTTGAATATATTTCAAGTTTGATACCTGGTTCAATCAGAACCTATATCATCCGTACTAAGCGCCAGGCCTAATTGTTGAGATATGAAATAAAGAAACAATTAAATCAAGTTGTCAAGAGCTGTGAGGGATGTATTTAGGACCCGAGATTCAACAATCTCCAGCTGAGATCGAGCGAGCGGAGACAGGGAGGACAACCAATCTGGTGAGTAGCAATCCACAGGTAATCTCAGCGGTGCTTCAAGTCTACTCATAGGCCCATCTTCCCTTCGAATGCGTCTTCGAGGGCGGCGGCCCCTTTGGCCAGGCGAGAAACCCGGAATGCTGGTGTCGGTGTGTGATTTCAGTTCGTCAATGCGGCTACATACCAGTTGTAGCTCGGCGCTGCGCCACTCGAGTCTTCGCACCATCAATGGGCTTTGGGACGGTGGTCCCTCACTTTCGTTGTCGGTCTCGTCGTCGCTACAAACATGTTGGATTATATTGGCAAGTGGCCACAAGGTTTTCTCCGCAAGAACAACACGATCCCGCAAGGTTTTCAACTGCAGCCACACGACCCCAACAATCAGCTCACCCAATATACCTACAGTCTTTTTGAAATTACTTACATGTCTCAGTCTTGAAGTGCGCCTGACTTCATTTGCAGCCTTTAATTTACGTGCATTGTCCCATTTCTCTTGAGAAAACCTGTCAGAAGGAGATAAATGAACATCCTGTTTTAACATCTACGCATGAAGAAGAACAACAAAAGTGTGAAAAAGACATGGACAAACCTTTTCATGAGTGTTTGTATATTTGATTTCATACTTTTTTGGATTAACACAATTCCTTCAACACCAAGGGGGACACCGCTGTACTCCCCACATTCGACGAGTTTTATGAAGATCCTCAATGCGAGAGCCCATAGCCACTTATTGTCTTTTGTAGACAGAGGCCGTGAGAAGTCAGGACGAAAACTTGAAACGCCAACAGCCTTCATCATCTGCCACATCACGGACAGCTGTTGAGGGCTAGAATCGGCGTGGCCAGGACCGTCTACATAAGGAAAGGCAGGATTGCGCCGTTCAGTGATTGAGGGCAACAGATCCATATTTACGTAGAATTCGAACTCGTCGATTGCTTGCTGAGACATCCAAGCTTTCTTATCTTCCGCGCTGGCAGCCTTTGGTAAGATCTTCTCGCCACTTTTCTGGCCTAGAAGTGTTTCGATGTGGAAGCGCATACGAGCCTATATATGCAATAAAGTAAGTGTAGGTACTTTTCCATTCAGCCTTGGCAGATGAATGAGCTTTAAGATTGACAACTTACTGCTATCCTCCCACCACAGGTTGATGTTTCTGAGGGATCTGTCCCACGCTCGCTGAGCAACTTCTGAACAACAGAAGATAATCGGTGTACTTCATCTTCAAGATCTTTAACTCTCTTGTTTGTTTCTTCCAAAGCTGAATTGAGCTGTGCGATTGTGATAGTTTGCTGTGTGATGATACTTGTCAACGAAGCTAAATTTATCGGCTCACTATCACCAGTGGGTATGTTTTGACCTTCAGTACCCCATGCTCCAGGATCTTCGGTTGTGAAATTAGGGTGAGGGGTCCACGTCGATGTGTTTTGATGGTCCAAGGCTTGAAAAGGTGTGTCGTCATCTTCAAAAATTCCGGCGTCCTCTCGATCATATACTTCCTTCTCCTTCCCTTTGGAAGATCTTGCTGGAACGGCTTGATCTTCCAACTGTTGTAGAGGGCAATTTAGTTGAGGGTGGCTGGGAAGTACATCAGCCAATGCGGCGGAATCCTCCATCTCGTGCCCTAGATTAGTGAGAACATTAAATGCCAGTATTAGCACTCAATGGAAATGAATCAGATATTACACGCTTTTATCAATTAACTTACTATGTAGCGTTTCGAAAGGAGCAGATTGTGGGTCTGATGCAGAGGGTCCCGGTAACATCACTGTAAAAAAGCGTGCATTCCTCAAGACCCAAGACAAACTCATAAAGTTTTTGTATTGGTTAACTTACTGTGATGTTGTTCCATGGAACTGGATCGATGCTCTGATACATAGAATTCCGGTAATTCGACTAAAAAGAGATCATTCATTTGTGAGTCCTCAATCATCATGTCCCTTTGCAAAATGAAAATGAAACTTGTGACAAACGTAAGTCTTGATGTACTTTGCAGCTGTTGATAAGCTGCTCTGTATTCATCCCCCTTGTATCCAGGCCAATGTTGTGGAGCATTCCGACAAGTTGAGAATCAGGTAAGCCTGAGTAATTTAGTTCGAAATTTTTCAGATGGTCGAATTGTGATTGAGGGTGTGCAGTCATTTGGGAGGAAGGGGTATCAGTCTTCTTTTCCGTGCTCTTTGGCGCAGTTTGCCGGCGACTAGTTTTTTTATCGTTTGACATCGACAGGCGAGGTTTTTTGGGGTTGAAACGCCGGCTTAGTAAGTCGAGTAATTTTTCACGAGAGGTCGAACTTCCAACAGGCACATCAGCCTGTCCAGTCAATGTATCGATTATTGGGCCATCGGTCGCTGGATCATTGGTGTGTTCTTGAAGATATGAAGTCAGTGATTTCGATGATCTGATTTCAAAAGTCAAGTAGCGCTTACCCAAAACTACTTTGTTTGCCTTCTTTCGTTTTTTGCTTTTCTCGGTCTTCTTTTCCACTTTGTCTTTACCCACAGATTGCTCCTCGTTGTCTACACGCACAATTCGAAGAAGGTTTTTGCGTAGACTTCGACGGCTGGGTTTCGGAATGGATGTCGATGGGGTATCTTCCATGTTTGGACTTTGAAAACCGTGATGCAACAACAAAGAAAGATGGGGAGGCGGCGTAAATGTCACAATCGTTTATGGAAGTTTGTGGTGAATTCCAAAAGTAACAAAATGATCAGAAAGATGAGAAAGAATTCACACAAAAAAAGACGAACAGGGGATGACAGACAAAAATGAACTTAGCTTATAATCACCACACCATCTAAGATTGGCTCGTGGGTCGCAGTTCACCGTCCCTTGTCGTTTTTTAACCTCGTCAGCTGGTTACGAATTCATGTTCAAGTAAGCCGGTATGATTGTGAGTCGAGTATCTGGTGTTTCCTTTCTTTTGGGAGCAAAGATTACTCGTTACTGTCGAACTGATCTTCCTGGAAACAAGCAAAGGATAAAGGTGTGGGGTCGTAACGGTGTAACTCACATGGATACACTCTTCTGGTGATTCAACTAATCAATAAGATCCCATCAATTCTTGGGTCCCGGATCAAAGTAGATATCCGGCCCATTGTCTCCACAGTCGACCACAACCTCACCTCACAAGTCAACCACAACCTCATTCAACATTTGAAAAACAATGGATGGCTATTTTGCATGTTTCTAGACTTGGAACTATCAGTGTACATCAAAGTTACAATAACTGAAATGTTGAGATTTGAAATTCAAATTCGAACTGCTTGAAGATGATTCATTGAAGCACTTACATGGTACGATAGTGGTACTCTTACATGCTCAGATGATATGGTATCTCAACATATAGGCAGTATCAAATTACTGTCTTTATTTCACGAGTGCTCACGAGTCAAACAAACGAAATCTATTACAAACAAACTGAGATTGACTAAGTCAAAATTGATATCTAATTATAAGATGACCGTCACATGATGTGACATGAAACCATCAACTTCCGAAAGAGGCATCGCTTCCACCACTGGATTCATCTTCGTCTTCATCATTGTCATTGTCACCGCCTTCAGACGGTCCATACTCACCATCTCCCTCTGAAAGAATGTGTACAAGCGCCTTATTACAAGTCTCAATCGTGTCATTAGCCTTCGTCAATTCAGACTTCAACCTCTTCACCTCTTCATTGAGCGCTGTGATATCAGCTTTGAATTTTTCTTCAAGCCGTTTGATTTCTCCAAAAGCCTTGTGCTCGAGCTTCATCATACGATCTTGAAGAGCCTTCCAATCACCGGTAATGAGTTCCACGCCCGACATACGCTCTTCAAGCGCAAAGACTGTATACAGAAGATATGTTAGCTCGATGAACATGAGTGTTTAAGCAATGATGATTGGGCATACTTTGATCAATTCTTCGTCTTTCATCTTGAAAAACCTCCGCCCCATCCCTCTTCTTTTCAGTCCTTGACAAGATACAGTTCAATTCTTCGACCGTGGATCTATTTGGTGATATGGGAGCAATGTCTCTCCCATTGACTGTAAGCGGATGAAGGTTAATATTTTCAAATTGAGAGATTTTAAAATTGAGGACTGTGTACAAACCAATGTTGTCCATTTCAAACCAGTCCTTATCGGCAAATGTTATAAGATCTTTTTTGTTGGTGTTGGCCCTTTGTCCTCCAAGCAAGGTGTGATCCATAAATTTCACAGGCACGCCTCTCTCATCTTTAACAAGTGTGGGTGGTAATTTTGGCATAGGTGATTCGAGAGAGGGTGAAGAGACGAATAATCCAGTGCCTTGATTGTTTGACGGAGTAGGCGTTTTTCGTACTTTCTGATTAACCTTTTGATTGCCTCGAGTAGTCCATTCAAGAACTGGTTTTTGGTCTTGTGTTGCGCCTTCAGACTGTAATGAGGAAGTGCATTGTTAGAAGGATGTACGTTCCAACACAAATAATCGAGACCCAACAACCCATCAACTTACTAGCGCGGGTTTCTGTGGTTCGACCAAAGGAGTCTGTGAAAAGTCTTGAATGTGATTGCTAGCATTTTGACTCGTCGATTGGACATGGTCACCCGATTGTGAGACTGAGAGTTCTCCATTCAAGATGCTACGGAATCGCACCGTCTTTCAGAGTGTCAAGAAAATAAAGAGCAAGGGAAACGGTTATTTTCGGTTGTGTAATCTTTTTTAATTGGGGACCACTCACCTTCTTGTTGATTGCAGAGCGGGCTGGGCCATTAGTTGATGCCACCTTGGCGGATACTGTACGTTTCTTCGAGGCTGTTTTGCTATCGTTGGGAGAAGCACATCTCTTTTTATCAGAGCGGCTTCGTTTGGCAGGAGTAGTTGTCACTAGACTGGTTGAAGAATCCGGCGGGGCTGAGTTTCTTGATTGGTTCACGGCATCATAACTGCCATCACCATTCGGATTACCAAAAACTGTGAATGTGGTCGAAGATACAGAAACGATGAAAGGAGATAAATTAATGTGTAGAGTAGAAAAGAAATAGTATATAAAAAGGCCCAAAAGAATGAAGGAAACAAGAGTCGTGTAACTCACATTCAGGCTGCACCTCTCTCACCTTCCTCGCCACCTCGTCCTTGTTCGCGCCGGTTTTGATAGGAGTCATTGGGTGATTGATATGCATCCAATCAAGCATCAGCTGCTTGTTCATACCTGGTGCATCTGGGTCAAACATCTTGGAAACTTTGGGCATTTTTAATGCTGATCTAGGGGATTGTCGAAATCAATAACATTGACCAATTATAAAAAACGGTATGGTGACAAACAAGTCAACTCTTAACCATGGTACGAATGTGTAATGAGTCACCGGTTGTACATCTAATTATCAGTCTTCTAATGGAAAGAAATCGTCAGTTGACTATAGAAGACGGCGAAAAAAGTCACCATATTGGCAACTCATCAGCGTCGTGGATCGACGTGCTCCGATGACACCTGAAGACAATTGCTCGGCATTAAGCGGCCTTTTTCAAATCGCCATCTCTTCTCTTCCATCTGCACCAAACCTCGGCGCCATCCAGTCAAGCCAAAATCAACTGACAGTATCATTATCTTATGTATCCTTCTTGTAATTTCATACATGAATTTGTCAACAAATTAATCTAACCGATATTTTCAGATCAAACAAGGGTGATATAAAGAAATCGTTGAGTTACAATATGAGTTGTGAAGAACAGTTGAGAAATATATAAAGGTAAAGTACCATAAACAAAGATTGGTCTCAACAATTTTCAGGTTTTTTCAGATATATCAAATGAATGTCTAACTTGAAGAAGAGAAGTTTCAAGAGTGACAAATATGGATAGTTGAATCAAGTTAAACTAAACATGTGAGATCTAGGACAAAAGCTCAATAAACCTCCACTGGTCAACACCACTCAAGGTTCCGTGTGATCATACTCAATACCATGTAAAACAATACAAGCTGAAAACTGTTTACTTTTTTACGAGAACTAAGTGAAACAGCAAGACAGAGAAGGAATAGTGTTGAACTTGAAGAAGGCACATGAGGGAGTTGATGTCGTTTTTCAAAAATTTACCTAAGTTTCAATATTCAGAATCATAAAATCAGAATAAATGAACGTCAAATTCCAAAAAGAAAAACTTACCGATGGTCAAAGCAATAGCGAGAACTTCCAAATCAAGCCTTTCCAGGTTGAGCGGAACCTTGTTCTTCATCCGAAGCTGAAGAAGGTTCCGGGGGGGCTGATTGATGTTTTTGCAAAATGTCCCTAAGTTTCAAAAGAAGATGATAGTCAGAATATATAAACACAAAGATCTGTAAGAAAACTTACCAATGATAATCTGCCAAGGCCCGAAGGAATGCAACATCTTCAAGAGCGCAATCAAACGTCTTTTGTTTCGACCTTAATGCAGTTATAGAACTTCTGAGCTTCTCGTCAAGCTCTGCGCGCTCTTTTTGTGAGACATCGGATTGGCGTAATAGAAGCTGAATGTGTTCGATCGAACTCTGGCCTTTTTGGAGGTAGACGAGACTATTGTGGACAGCATCTTCGGCATGAGCATGAGCGCCCTCAATCTCGTCAATCTCACCTTGATTTAAAAATTTGAAGTCCTTGACGAATTTGATGAGACTTTTGCCCGCAAGGCGGTATTTGCCGATCGTCAGATATCCAAGAATAGAGCGGGTGAATCGTTCAGTGCGATCAAAATCAATATCAGCACTTGAGGCTGCAAGTTTTGGAGATTCTTGAGTTGCAAAGATGGGTCCTCTGAGGGGAATTTCGCAGTAGTTTAGATCGAGCTGGGATGGAATAGCTAAATGTCTGAGATTTCCGGCTACCATTTCAATGAATATCATCCGAAGAAGCTCGCGATCTTCTTGCGCAGCTTGCGTAAATTGAAAATGAGGATAAAATGCTAAGATGACTTTGACGATTTCAGTGTTTGTAGCTTGACTTAGGAGGAGGTTAATGTCGATCCGGGGTTCAGCTCCATCAGGAATATAATTGAGGATAGAAGCAGGTAGGAAAACACGGGTCTGCATATGACGAGACATGATTGTTGGATCACACGGATTTCAAAAACACCAAAGTTTCTAGAAAATGTGGCCCTACTTCCTATCACTAAAGTAACGGATAGAAAATTTTATTTACACCTCTTTACACATATCTACACGCTTCTTCTATCTGGACTTTCAAAGTTGCATAAATTCAGCCGACATACCCACTTATGATCAACGGAGATAAGAAGAGAATCTATCTGTTTGACTCTAAGACAATCAACACGTTGGGTCGGGCATCACATGACCTTTGAATGCAATAAATGCAGCCTCTTTGAATGGAGTAATTGCACCCAACTTGAGTGGTCTTCTGATCAAACCGGAGCAGGATTGTATATGCTATCAAAAGCACGGTTTCAACAAGTACAATCACCCAGATTATCACCCGATATATCCCAAAAATCTCTTCGATTCAGCATAATGTCAACCACCACTCCAACTCAAAACCACATTTTCTTGCCAAATTATATACTTGAATATGTTGTCGAAGATCAAGATAATCCCAGACTTGATCCTAACCTTTTCTTAAGCAAAGCTAGTACCTCACAAATTGTGGAAGTGATCATGTCGTTTTATCCTCATCTCCGCTTTACCGAAAATGCAAGACAAGATCACGAATTGATCCTCAAGGTTTTTGTCGAGATGGTTGCCCCACGTCTATCAAACATCATCATCCCTTTCAATCGCAACACCGACTATCTTCAAGCTATGCTACGCACCCCAATTCACCAACTGCAACCGTTGGCCAGATCGGTGAACTCCAGCGCAGATATCGACACTAGAAGGATCGAGCGCTTCGAAGTTTTCTGTCTTCCAAACCTCAAGACTGGTCGGTACCGCCTTGCTGCCGATGATCTCAAGAATTTTGTCAAGGATTATAAACACCTCCAGCAAGTAGAGATCGATGAAATTGTATTTCTTCAAGATGATGCTCAAGATCTCATTCACGATGTTACATCTAACCTTCAAAGAACCCACGATTCAATTGAGATTATTCAGCTTCAGCTACGCAATCCCAACCTCTCACCAACCGAGCGCCAAGACCTTGAGGAGCGGTCAAAATCTGCGAACCCATTGTTAATTTCCCATCAGAGGGCGTTCGATGATGCTATCAAGGATGCTGCTCTTCTTCACGCCTTGGCAAGATATCATATGTGAGTTCTGAGATTACAAGTTCTTGTTTGAAGGCGCTTTTCATTGATGTATCAATAAATTGGTTAGCAATATCCGCGATAAACATAGTGCTGGTCCTTCAAATTAGTCTCACTCAAGATTGATTTATGTCGAATACTTCAAGCATCAATTGCTACATCAAATTTTCTTCATTCAGACTTCACTCATCACGAGTAGGGATATACATACCTGTTGATTTCACCAAATCGACCCAGATTGTGAGATGTGTTGAACTTCTTGATCTTAACATCCGTGTATCGCTATCACTGCAGTTGTTGTCTTGTGCGCCACTATAGTTGACTCACATGTAATAGAACCTGGTAATCTATCATGAATTGTTTGTCTACAATAATGATATTATATCCTGAAGGTGGCCTTTTACATTTTTTTGATACTTTCCACACTTGTATATCTGACATTCAAGGAATGAAATTGACCCATTTCTTTTTCTAAGCGCGAGGCTGTAAGAGCCTGTTGAGTATCATAATATGGTGATAATGCCTTATGGCTTAACTAACATCACCATGAATTCAATCAGAATCCAAGGTCTTCAGATCCAAAGCCTTCAACTTGGACCTTGAAATGTTCTAATAAAGAGGATATCAGAAAGATTCTGATTGGATACACTTTTGGGAAATCGCGCAAGTAATTGACAGCGAGAAAAGACTTCATTTCAGATATGTAACGATGTCTAACTTGAGGTCATTCCATGAGAACACAATATCCGAAATCAGAAAGAGAGGAAAAGATAGCCACAAGAATATGATTATTTTCTCTTGAAGTGTTTTGATATGTTTGTGTAGACTACATGGGACTACATAGAGAAGCCAGTCTTAGATAGAAAGCATACAAGTACAACAATACAAAAATAAGAAAGAAATGATACCATCCACAAAAGTTTGAGTTTAAATGAAAATGAAAACCATTAATAGTAGACGCTGGATGTACGTTTGAATCTTGAAAGACTTCATCACAACCTGGATAGAGAAGCATGAAGATGTGCGCATAGATTATTTTGTACATGAGAGAAAATCAGTCGATCAAGTTACTTTGACTTGGAAAGGAAGAAATGAAATTGAAAATTTACAATCTGTGTATTCCTTTACGCTTACACATCCTTGCTGGAGCCCTCTGCCACAAGGTCCTTGTTGATCCAATAGTGATAACCCGGAACTAGTTGTTCGTCGTCTGATTTTGGGGATTCATCCAACATGAATTTTTGGTATAAGCAGATATAATTGGGTAGTCGTAATACTGGTATATTTAAAAACAATTCAGGGTGGTAGCATTGAAGATGATATCGAATCGTTTGGATGCCGAGTTTTGGTACAAATTTGGAACGGACACAGCGTGGTTGCTTTGTAAACTCAGAAGGTGGAAGTTGAAGATTGGGATTTACGTAATGTTTATAAAGAACAAGCACTTCATCCTTGAGTGCGACTTTAGAGACTTTGACATGGGGGTTAAGCTTCTCGATAGTATTGACAAGCATGGGGATCGCGGTTCTACGGTTAAGTGGATCATAATCGTCGGCTGATTCATCGTCAGTGTCCATGGAGTCGTTGGTGGGTGGTGGTGGTGCACAGAAAGGTAGTAACTTGGGTAGGACATCTGTTTTGAACTTGTCAATCAAGGTGTCCTTCTTCAAGCTTGGCCGAGCACTAGTATTGGGATCAAAATGATGCATAATTTCGTAATATCTGAGTTTTATAAGTTTGTAAGTTCTGTTCGTCTCCCAATCGTGTTTCAAGAATGGTTGCAAGTCCGGATGAAGTGATTGGATTTTAGGGTACAAGGGATGCTTCGTGAGATCGGACGCGTCAGAGGGATCAGAGGGCGCATTAGGATTGCTGAATTTAGCAGTTGGTGATGCTGCAGATTGTTGATGTCCCGGAAACGATCCTTTCGGTGAGGTGATCTCGCCTCGAGCTGATGCTAAGTTCACATTGGGCTTGCCCTGGGCCTCGTTACTTGCTGTTCTGCTCAGCTTGAGTTTACTAGATCTCGTCGAAGATTGTTGTGGTTTGCTTCCGTTCCCTGACATCTTAGATCGGAGGAAAATCTTGACAAATTGATCTATTACATAGATGACAAACCGATATGTTGAAAACGTCAAGAAATTAGTGTACTTCTTATTATAATACAACCTGAGGCAAGAAAATGAGCTTACTGAATGTACTGTATACTTTATCGGCACCTCTGATCAGTAGATATATTTAGTGCAAGTAACAACTATCAGCTTGTAAAACGATGAGATTTATAAGAAGTTATAAGGGGGTAATGCTATAAGATGGCCGTAAAGCAAAATAAGTGAAAATTGACCAAACGAAACGATGATGTTTGGGGGCAATTTTCAGCAGTCTTTATGGAAGGATATGTATTTATGACCGTTGAGGCCATTCAATGCATGAAAGCAGTATTTGGAGGAAATTCCCGTAGCGGGGATCACATTTGTCTTATTTGGATTCATCGAAAGGGTGTCAATCTGATCCCCACTACAGTATAATGTAGTTATCATCAGTTGAATTCGTTGCGTTGATTTTTATTACTCAATCTCCGAAATTGTAGGCAAGTTATCACAAAGGATGTGAAGGAAAACGAGTCAAAGATTGTTAGAATCCTCCGAGCAACAAATCATGCAGCTGCGGCAAGGCAACGGAAAAGATAATTCCTAGTATATTTCTTTTCCCTTTGGAAAATATTAATTTTCGCGTAGTGTATTTCTCTGTTATCACAAAGTGGTCAGCAAGTGCCCTTGTGCTGGTTCCTTTGAAGAAGGCAGTCTTTAGGCAACTTCTACTATATTACACGTAGTAGATTATCCCTTCTTAGGTGTTGTAAAGCTCTTGTTGAGCTTTAAATACTACACCGTTTTGAGAACTATTGGTAACTTTCAAGGTGATGGGTGTCGCCCAGTTTTAACTACAGTTTAATTTTTAGTCCAAAACTCAGTTTTTTTCAATGTCACAGGCCTAAACCTTGTTTTGGCTCCTGCAATATGCTTTTTTCTCACGGTGGGCATGGTCAAAAAAGAGTTTTTTTTTAGTTTTTGCCAGTTTTGGACTAACTCTCAACACAACACAAGAGAAAAATAAGTTACTGTTAGTTCTCAAAACGACTGTAATAGCAAATCACTGGATTGATCAATCTGATCAATATCAAAGCTTGGCTTCCTGACCGTCCAATATCACATCACCACCTCACCACATAATCAACCATCTATTCTGATCCACTTGATATCTTCACTCAGTCAGTCAAATATGAAGGCAACATTGATAAATCATCTTGAGGGTAGAGGGTCCCAATTGAGGAACTTGTCCTAGCGGACTTCTAGCTACTGTTAAAACTTTCAGAGAGTCTCATCATTCAGTAGGAAGGTGATTGAATGCCTTTCAACCCTGCGTGACAAGGTTATAACAGTTTTTTAAAGCAAATTGATCCTTGTATCTAAGGCTCTACAAAGGTCTTTCAGTGAAATCAAAATGAAAAATATTTGGTGAATTTTCTTTAGAACATTAAGACAGTCATTTAAAAGGTACAGATAATATGATAATACCTCAAAAATGAGGTGCTGAGATGGTAGTGGACAATGGCAAGTTTTGATTTTGATCAATCTGGTGATTTGGCATTAAGCTATTCCCCAATCTTGCACAACTTGTTTTTGGAAAACTCATTGCCTTTCAAAAAAAACAGCCAGTTTTCAAAAAGAAACTGAGTGACTTTTCAAAAAACTTGGCAGCCTTTTGAAAAAACTTTGTCACTTTGTGAAAAGACTGGAGGTTTTTTTTCTCCAAAGTCATCAATTATGCATCAGGCTGTAGTTTGATTTGGTGTGAGGTTAGGACTCAGAGCTACTCAGAATTAGCTAATGCCTTGGTAGGCTGGGATAACTTTGCCCCAGCCTACCAATTTTTTGTCACAGAGTTAACTAAAGATTTGTTGAAATTTGACCATTGTGGAAATTTTGAGATTGGTAAGTTAAATACTTAGGTATTCCCGCGAGTTAACCCAACAATTGTGGATGCTCTAAGCAATAAGAATTACCTATAATCTAGATAGTAAAATTAAACCCTAACCCAAGGACAATAAAACCTAAGCACCAATGTCAGCCCTCAAGCTTTCGCGGAGCGAAAGCCAGAAGAGCTTCAAAATAAAAATATACTAGCCCAATCAGCGGCGGGCGCCGCACAGCTCTTGCTCTACCACTTGAACACCTCCTGATCTTTGGTACATTGTAACAAGCCCCACATGTACCATACATTGTCAGTTTGTATGATTGATCTTTCAGCCGTTGAAAGTAGTAGCTGCATGATTACCTTGCATGTGTTTTCTTTGACTTCTTTGTGATAGCATTTCCTTTGACCACTCCTTGATCCTCAAACATGGACTCTAAACTTTCAAATTTTTATCTCATGGACTCCCATTTACTGGAACATTTTTACCAGTTCAAACCCACTCAGGGACACTTTATTTTCACAGACTCATGACTTCCAAGAACAATAATCTGATATAAGACATCCAGAATATCAGTACAAGTGTTGTGGAAAATGTGATGGATCTGTGGGGCAATTTCAAACTGGCTGGACTTCTTCCATAAACTTGTCATGGTCTCATATGCCTAACTCTCCAATTCTTGGTGCTCCTTTGCCCCCTTGTCTTGGTTCTTGTTAGCTTTTGGTCTAGAATTTTGCCCATCATACCTTGAAAGTTTAGAAATACATAAGAACCAGCAAATCAGTTTGAAATCCACTCAACCCAAGTGGAATAGGATTTCAATGATTTGGATAATTTTCAGATATAGTGCAAAGCAAGATTCAAACAGTACAAGGGCTATGAATGTTTCTGTATCAGGATGAATCAAAACAAAAAGGCAATTGATGACTGATATTCATTCAACAGTCCTCCATTTTAGACCACTTCTACAGGAAGTAAAGATGAAGTATGGAAAACGGAAGATGAGGAAGACCCATGAGCAACAAAATGGCCCATATGTACAATTCCAATGCAAACATAACAAACTTTAATTTGCTGAGGTCAAGTTGATCTTGAGGTTTAGTCTTGAGAAACTTGAGCATGTTGACTGCATCA